CATCCATAAGATATTCTATAAGAACATGGGCTATAGGAAAAATAGTAATAATTCAAACTAGCCTCAGTAAGCATGTTATCTCGTAAAACGTTTCATAAAACATAATCATCAAATCATGCTTTTCATGTATGCATTTATACTATCAAAACATGCATCTTTAGAAGGGGTCCACTCATAGTACTTCGCTATCGAAAAGCCACGCCAACAAGCGAAGAAGGAAACGCCACAGATAATCGCCCCTAAGCACATAAATGGTACATTTAGTCAAACTCTACTCAAATGACTAGATTTGGGAAAACGGATATCGAAAACGGGTTCAGGACGTCAAAATTAGCCTAGGAGGGGTCCTGCACGAAAACCCAAAAAGTCAACCCCGAGGTCAAAGTCAACGTTGACCGTTAACTGGTCAAAGTCAACGCTGGGTCAACGATCAACGGGTCATGGGTCAACCCGTCAGAGTCAACCCGGGTCAACCTGGTTTAGGGTTTGGGTATTGGATCCGGGTTTGGGTATTGGGTTTGGACTTGGGTTGGATCTGGGTTTGGGCCTAAAGGGTTTGGGTCTAATGGGTTTAGGGTTAACGGGCCGGAGGCCCTAAAAAAAAACGGCCCAAAGACCTTTAAATTAATAAAACAAAAATAAAAATAAAAAGATTGGGTTGGGTTGCCCAGGGTTTTGGGCTTGGCAGAAAAGGCTGAAAGGCCTTGGGTTTGGTGGTTCGCCGGATTCCAAGGAGGGAGAAGGCTGGATTTCGGCCGGAGAATTCCCAAGCTCCGATGGAGCTCAAAAATCAACCAAAACATGCCATTCAATATACCAAATTGAAGCCCCGAAGGTAAGGAATCGAAATATACCATTGGTTCCCATCATCGTGGCCGGAGTTGGCCGGAAAACAGCCTGGAAGCCACGGGTGTCCGCAGGAAACTGGGTAAGATTCAAATGAGTATAACTTCTTCAATACTCAATGAAATTGGGTGAAACAAAGAGGAAAGTTGTAGTACTCAGCGAGACGAAGAGATTGATACCTTGCACGCTAGCCAACTCACCGTGGTTTGGTCAAAAATTGCCTCGAAAAGGGCGGTGCTCGCCGAAAAACTGGGAAAATGTCTCCAAGGTGGTTTCTTCATGGTTTGACGTCCAAAACACAACCACATGGTTAGAAAAGAGCTATAAGTGTGGCATGGGTGTGTGTGTATGTGTTTTTGTCAGAGAAAAGAGCACCGAGAGGGGGGAAAAGAGAGAGCACAGGTATAGAAGAGAGACTTTTAGAAGAAATAAAAGAAAGGGAAAGGGAAAGGGAATTGGGAACAAAACAGGGGGTCGGCTCCTTGGGCTCACCAATTAAGACCCAAAAACAATGTTAAAAAGGAAAATATCCCCCAAACTTAGTGAAAATACAAAAATACCCTTTTTCTTACGTAAATCCCGGGACGGGTTGTTACAATTGTGACATCCCACATCGCCCAGGGGAGTGATCCTTATATGTATATTCCCATTCCTACCTAGCACGAGGCCTTTTGGGAGCTCACTGGCTTCGGGTTCCGTCGGAACTCTGAAGTTAAGCAAGAAGGGGGCTAGAGCAATCCCATGATAGGTGACCCACTGGGAAGTTGCTCGTGAGTTCCCAAAAACAAAACCGTGAGGGAATGGTAAGCCTAAAGCGGACAATATCGTGCTACGGTGGTGGAGCGGGCTCAGGAAGTGGTCCCGCCCGGGCCGGGATGTGACAATTTGGTATCAGAGCCTAACCCTGGTCGTGGTGTGCCGACGAGGACGTCGGGCCCCTAAGGGGGGTGGATTGTGACATCCCACATCGCCTAGAGGAGTGATCCTTATATGTATATTCCCATTCCTACCTAGCACGAGGCCTTTTGGGAGCTCATTGGCTTCGGGTTCTGTCGGAACTCTGAAGTTAAGCGAGAAGGGGGCTAGAGCAATCCCATGATGGGTGACCTACTGGGAAGTTGCTCGTGAGTTCCCAAAAACAAAAGCATGAGGGAATGGTAAGCCCAAAGCGAACAATATCGTGCTACGGTGGTGGAGCAGGCTCGAGAAGTGATCCGCCCCGGGCCGGGGTGTGACAGTTAGTCTCATAATGGGTTAGTAATAAAGTGGTTCAAATTCTCCTTTAACGAGAATCAAACTTAAAACATCTCATTTACTAATGAAAATTAAAGAGAAATACTACTAGACCGTATTTTGTTTTAAAATACAAAAAATAACAAATAATAAATTTACATCAGACCATGGGAAAAGAACCAATACAACGCAGACCCAAACGCCCCACAATTGGCGGATATTGCCTTCCTCCTCACCGCCTCAAGACTCCTTTGCCCCTTCACTTTCTTAACCTGTCTCCTCGGTTACCGCTGACATATACCGCCTGCAAGTACTAGATCCAAATATATCGAGCAGTGAAAGCCAAATCCGAACAAAATCACTCAAACTTCTCGTTTGTTCCGAACAAAAAACCCTAACAAAACCAAATCCAATCCCACAGTACGAAACAATGGACAACGATAGATTCGATTGTCATCTATTTCTTAATAAAATATTTTTTTAAAAAGTAATAATTAATTGTTTTTCAAAGAAGAAGACCATCTCTTTCTTTTTCCTCTGTTTAAAGTTTTCGATACTCAACTTCTAGTCCATGGTTTTTTTTGCCACCCTAAAGGACAACTTAATTTGCTGGGTTTTTTATTTATTTATTTATTTTTTGGCTCAATTTTGTCCTAATTTTTGGTCCATTGGGATTAGGCAATTCCAAAGTCATCTTTATGAACCCTAATAATGAAAAAAAAAATTATTTATCGCCTCCAAAATTAAGTTGAATGGCTGTTTGCTTTACGATCATCTATTTTTTAATAAACTATTATTTTCAAAGAATTAATTAAATTTTTATCTTAGTTTGTTTTCATCCAATGGTCTTCTACTTGTCTTTTTTTTTTAAGTGTTTAATGACTTGTACTTTATTTTGTACAATTATAAAGTTTTCTTTATTAAATTAGTAAAGGGTAAATTAGTAAATTTATAAGCAAATTTTGACTGAAGGGGTTATATGAAAGAGAATTAAAACCTGATGGGGTGTTTGCGTAATGTCTCAAATGTGAGGGGGTTTTGTGAAAACTCGATAAACCTCATGGAGTGTTAGTGTAATTAACCCAATTTGGGTGCCCACACAGGGCATCCTTTTTTTTTTTTAATATTATTTTGCAACTTTGTCACCGATGTGAATTAGGGTGGCACTGGGGGAAAGGCACCAATGCAATGATGGTAGCCATTGTTACAATAGAGTCCTCTACATAGGCCACACTCTCTAGTTTAGTGGGTGCTTGGTGGCCATAGAGGTTTGCCACCAATGTGAGTGGCAACACTTAACAATAGCCACCAATAAAAAGGGTGGCTTATAGCCAAATTTTTAGTAGTGCTAACCTGGATATATATGTTAGTTTGAATAAGGAGGAAGGCCGACAGAAGGATCCTTGGCGACAGGCGCCGAGGAGCGATAGTGGCCGCTGGTGAGGTGAGTTGGTTGTCAGGCTGGATTCATGTTCCTAGGATGTGTCGTGTTCTCTTAACAATGTTAACATTTTGTTAAACACGTATGAAGTAGATAGATAAGAAACCATCTTCTCCGGATCCTCTTTATGAGGTCCTGAAGATCCTCAAATCATGCTCGTTCATTGTATATCGTGCGGTCAGTTTTCGTTAGGTATTATTCATATTTAATTTAAAATAAAGTATTTAAAATGATTTCTGACTGCACAATGTACAATAAACGAATACGATTTGAAGATTTTCATAATCCTCACAAAGAGAATCCGGAAATAATCCTCATTCGATAAGAAATATAGAAGGAGACACAAACTTGAGGACAACAGATCACACCCGATAAACGAAACCTAATCAATGGATTAAGGAAAGTAAGAAAATAGGTCCAATAGCTAAGATTACACATCATCATATTTTTATTTTTATACCAACATACCCCTAAAATTATAAATTGTTATAAATATGTAAATGCATATGATCCTCGATTTTAGGATTAATAGATGAACGAATTCCTTAATTGTAGGATTTGAACTAGTCCGTTAATAACTTCAACTCTCTCATGTTGGGTGATTTTTGGGTGATTGTGAGGGATGAAAAGGGGAGGTTTATTGCTGCTGGGCATCAAGTGGGAGTATCCTCCCCTTTAGCTGAAGCTTTTGCACTCCATGAGTTGCTAGTGGCTGCGTTACGGCCGTTTTTTAGGGAAACTTAATGAGAGTACTTGCGGGAAGAAAACATTGTGGCTAGGGATGGTGTGGGAAAGTGATCCGAATACCATACTTCGTTTTGTTGGTGTTTATTTAGCTGTATGATAGATTTTTTTATTAATATACCATATATATCACTTTTTTTTTTATAATCTATCACAAATTAATTGTTTATTTCTCATATTTTGTCTAGATATCTAAGTATTGCATTTTCACTTGAAGCAATTTGATAATGACCATGTTTGTATTACAATCGATATTAGAAAAGAAGAATTTAAACACAAAACTTGAGCGGCTTAAAAATAATGCACTTTAAACCATATAAATTATAGTATAGTGTCGGCAGGCCTTTTCTCAAATTTGCTATCTCAAATATGTCGAACCATTTCTGTAGCTTCAAACTATGCGCTACGGTGTAGCTTCCATTTTCTTATAATTCGATAGTCACGTCATTTAATACTACGGTCAAGTGATATTCTTCTTCACTTGTAAGTAAGAGATATTATGTTCAATTCTCGCTAATGACGAGTTTGAATCACATAATTGAAGCCCATTATAAGACTTAGTCCGTTCTCTCATTCCCTTAGTATGGATGATATTGTTGTGTAAAAATATAATTAGACAGCAACGTCTAATATTAAATTTAGTATTATTATTGACTTAAACCTAAAAAATTCTAAAAATTAAATGTACGAAAGCACTAAATATCTTCTTTTTATAGCGTACTTTCGACGGCGGAGATGTGGCCCAACTCTCGCACAGGCCATCAGCAACTCTCGGTGAAATGAGAGGCGCTTTCTTGACATGCATGCATGGCTTTCTCTTTAGCATTCCTGTCATGCACCCAGATTAACCAATAAGCCAGAGGACCGCCACAACAGCTTGGACGGTGACTCTAACAGCAACGAAAGATTTTCTCTTCCCTATTCCTGCATGCAAAGATGGAATTGTACATACGTACTGGGTATTAATAATATCAAGCCAAAACCTAATCAACATAATACTAATTAGTTAATTAAATTGACCATCATTTTAATCATAATACTTACCCCCACTTTTGGTTGGCTTTCCTTCCCCGTAGAAGAGGTCAGGCCCGTACCTCACCTGACAGCTTGGCGAAAAAATCATACCCCATGTTCTTCCCTCACAAGTCTCCTGATACCCACCGACACCCGCCCTCAAACACCTTTGGCAGTCAGTCCCATTTATGTCCGGAGTACATTGCATCAAACAATATATCGACGTCCCTCCGTTGCCTTTCTTGTCATCCCCGGTTGCAAAATAAATTGGAGTCGTATTCCCAACAGCTTTGTCCACAAGACCATTCATCAAATTCAACAAGCTCTGATTAAACTGGTCTTTGTTTGAAACTTTGTTCACACTGCACCAATACCGCCACGGAAGCTCCTCCTCTGTGGCAGAGATGGAGCGGTTTGAATATCTCAACATGCATTCCTCATACCAAACGATGGATTCCCTGTTGTTGGTGCAATTTTGTTTGAGGTTCTTGGCAGCGGAGTCGATGCAGTCGCGGCAGACTCCGGACTTGACATCACCCCGACAAAGGTATAGGCCGTACACTTTTTTGTCGTTGTCTCCGGATGAGGAGTTGTAGAAGCTGGTGCCGGAAGATTTAGAGGAGAGTTCGGAGAGGAGTTTGTTGACGTTGTCTTGGAACGGGGCGTTTTGGGCTTTGTTAACTTCTAAAGAGCAGTAGTGGTGGATGTAGTGAATTGAATTGGAACAGATCACAAGTTTGAATAGGCTGATGAACGAAAGGGATACAATTATTAGGGTGTGATCATGAAAATTAACTAATGACATCTTAATTTGTTTGATCGAATCCCTTAAAGTTCCTTAACTGGTGGTGCAAAAGGATCATAATTAGAAATAATTAAGGTGTTTTTTTAGTGATGGAGATCAACTGACATCTTTGTTTGCTCGATGGTTGAAGATTGTTGAATTAGTGGTGCAAAAGGAATGCAGATTGCATGCTTGAATATTGACTATAAATAATAGGAGGCATCCCTGAAAGGCTCTCATAATTTTGTTGACATATTCAACGTGATTTTCTCATTTCTATGACTAATTCAGAAAACAAATAATGATTGGGAGAGGGAACAGACATCCGCTAGTTTCACTGTAAAAGTTTTCTATAAATATAAGTTACAAGAATAAACTCACCAACTTGAAGCAAGAATACAATAAAATGACTTGTGCTACAAAAATAACAAAAAAAAAAAACTCAGCATATATGTTCCCAAAAAAACACATCAGTCATCACTAGAGAGGATATGGTTCAGTAATATTTGAAGGCTCATTTTGCGTCACATAGACGGAGCTACGTTTCGATTCATCAGAATTTGTCAATCCTGCCAACAATATGTCTGATCCACTGTCATCTTGCAAATAAAATGCAGGTCGTGAGGGCACTGAAAGTATGAGAGAATGACTATTAAACATGGATACAACTGACGCCATCATCGGTCTGTCAACCACATTTTGTTGCACACAACGTAAACCAATGTGGATGCTTCTCATTGTTTCAATTCTTGAACTTGTCGTCAACGTAGGATCTATGATATTTTGAGGTGTTTCCTCCTTCCAATTTCTCCAGGCCTTCATCAACATAGTTAAAAGGAAAATTTTTACCACTAGTTAATTTTTCTTTGGCAAGCAAAAGAGGAATAACCAACTTGATTATACTCATACTCACATAGCTTAAAAGGTCCTCTTCATTTTCACCATATCGAAAACTTCCAATCTTTTTACCACTAATAATTTCAAGAACTAACACACCAAAACTAAAGACATCAGTTTTGACAGAGAAACGCCCATGAATTGCGTACTCTGGAGCCATATATCCACTGCAAGATTATGTTCCGATTATAAGAATGTAGGTTTCTTCTTTTGTAATGGAAACTTCAAATTTTTTAAATCAAACACAAAACTAAATTAAGTGTAAGATAGCTTACAATGTTATTACAGTACTTACTAGGTTCCCACAATTGTCTTTGTATCTCCTTGAGTTTGATCGATAACAAACAATCTGGCCATACCAAAATCGGCAATTTTGGGGTTCATATCTTCATCTAACAAAATATTGCTTGCTTTGAGATCACGATGAATAATTCGGACCCGAGAATCTTCATGAAGGTAAAGGATCCCTCGAGCAATGCCTCGTATGATCTTGTAACGTGTTTCCCAATCCAACCGCACATGATTTTTGGGGTCTAATAAATATTGTTTCGTTAGAATGAAATGTGATATCTTTTCATCAATAAGAAATTACTACAATACACACACACACACCAACAAGGGCTAGAGCAAATATACCAAAAATGAAGTGATCCAGGCTTGCGTTAGCTACGTATTCGTAAATGAGGAGTCCTTTCATCTGCTTTCAAGCAAAATCCAAGGAGCCTTACTAGATTCCGGTGTTGAAGCTGAGCAAGTAACTCGACCTCGTTCTTAAATTCACGATCGCCTTGTTCAGAATTATTATCCAGCCTTTTCACGGCTATAAGTTGCCCATTCAATAGCCTTCCCTGAATGTTTTACAGAAAAAAAAAAAAAAAAAAGAAAAGGAGTAGTAAGGAAACAATTGTTAAATGTCATCTTTTTTTTTTGGAATTTATTTGTTTTGTTACCTTGTAAACAGCTCCAAATCCACCTCGTCCAAGCTTATTAGCATCAGAAAAGCCATCTGTTGCAGATTTTATAGTTTCGAAGTCATATTGCAACGACTCCACCAAACTAACTTCATCTGAATTCTCGCGAACTGAAAATAGAAATGTTTCCAAACATTAGATGAGATAAATGCATTTTAAAGATCAGAGTGTGACAATAAAACTTGTTGAACTTATTACCTTCAACTTCAAGTAATTTTACTCTTCGTTTCCTCATTCTTAAGAAAATACATATGCTGCTTATGATAATAGCGATGGCAACCAAAACCACAGTGATGATGATGACAATTTCTCTTGTATTACTCTTCTTTGCTTCTGAAATATTGTGAATCACAAGTGTAGTTTTATTAAGAATCACACCACATAATTGTGAGCCATTGATTGCGTTTAAGTATATGCAGGGGAGCTGAAATACTAGCATACCTTCTTTGGGTGTTGGTGCTGGACCTGCTGGTGCTGATGGATTTGAAATATTTATTGGCCAAGCAGCGGAAGGATCGAAGAAAATACCGTCCTCATACCTTAAGTTACAGCTGGGTTTAAGAACTCTTCCTCCTTTTTTTCCACCGCAACATCTCGGAATTATTGAGACGGAATCTTTGAGGCAATTGCTGCAGTTTTGCTGGTTTATATCTGGAGTGCACTGGACAAATGCATATATTGTTTCGGCATCCGGGACGGTTGCATGTCCGGCCGCAAATTTTTTAAGAGAATCCCCTGATGCAGCTTTCTCACTTAAAATACCCAACAAAGGGTTAAGCACCACCTCAAACTGTTGACCGTTTTCAGCAAAATTTGGGCTAGGCAAAAACTTAGTTGGGTCCTTTTGCTCAATACCAAATATTACTGTTGTACGAGTATCGAACCATACAACGCTCTCCCCATAGGATTGCTTCCTTATGATTTGAACAATTATGCAAGAGAATGTGACTGGACTTGTTGACGCAAGTGCGACAATCGTCAAGTGCAAGGTCTCCTCTGCATAATGCAATGGCATTGACTTTGTTGGAGTCTTGTCCCGCTGTAGAATTGTAGAACCCAGAGCGGATTCGGGTGTCTGAGGAGAAGGAAGAGAAGAGCCTCTTGAGGTTGGATTGGTACATGTCACCTGGTGTGTAGTTGCCTGCAGTATCAGAACATATCCAGCAGTATTCAGCTGCGCTAGTGCAGGTGCGATTGTCGAATTGGGCCATGGTGGGAGCTAGAAGGTTGAAGATACTAGGAAGAATGAAGAAAAGCAATGATCTAGGGCAATCCATTTCTCCTGCTCTAGTCCGAAGTAACGCGGTTGGGGTAACGATATTCATTGGATGACTATTGCTTCACTACACGATTTTTTCTATCCATCCACCCCACCCAATATAATTATGTTAGATGTGGGTGAGTGGATTGATAGAAAACAATCCCCCGTTTGAAACGTACCAAATAATCTATACTTAAAAAGGAGTAGCTAGCATTGATTGCACCGTCCATATAATTATCAACCCACCTAGTCGTGGAAGAAAAAGTATAGATAAATATACATAGGTAACGATAATTCATTGGATAACTATCGCTTCACTACACGATACTTAAAAAATCTCTTGGAAAATTAGGCCAATTGACTGATCAGGCTGCTAAATATGCGCAATATGCAGTTGTGGGCCACCCACAAAGAAGAAGAAAATTAGGAGATGTATTTCGGAGGACAAGATCTACACACCTTTGTGTCTATTTTTTCCATCATATGAGTTACAAGATATTAAAAAAATATTTATAGTGGTGTAACATATTTGGCACCGCTTTGTATATATGTCAGCCCATCACAAAATTAGGAACAAGGTAAAAGTGATTTCCGAGTGCCAAAAACAATCTTTGAAATGTCGTACTTTAAATGCAAGAAGCTTACGCAAAGTAAAAAATGCAATATAAGATATCTTATGATAATTTTGTTGACGACATTCGCACTTAAAAAAAAAATAGTGCTACACTTACCATTTAGTTATATCATTACTTGTATCATCTTCTTCTTCTTCAAGTAAGTCTTGATTGAGATGTCAACATTAATGGACAGGAGTGTTGAGTCGTGTGGAAATGAAGGATTTTTTAGGTGGAACTTTCATCAGCCAAACTTTGTTCTTGCTTGTTTTTTTCCTCAAACTTTCAATAATTACATCTTCATATTTATTTAGTCTTCACGCCTCTTGGCAAAGGTTTGTTTTTTGTGGGTCTGGATTGAACCTTCTTCTCCTAGTTTGGTGTCACAAATTCAAGGATGAAAAATATTGGTTTCTATGGAGTATCGCCAACTTAATGTCCGAATATTTCAATATTGATATGATATCACCCACTAGGGGTGCAACTTAGACGGGTTGGAAGATCAACCCAATCCTAACCCAACTTTTACAATTTGGGTTCAGGTTTGGGTTGGGTTTCATTCGGGTTCATTTGGGCTCGGGTTGGGCTTGGTTTAATTGGGTTTGGTTTGGATTGCCCAACCTTTTTAAGTTTAATCTTGTAACAACTTAGTTTCCAAGAATTCCTAAAAAAAATAAAGCAAGTAGCATCAAAAGCTAACTTTAATTTCATAAATCAATTTACTATAAAACTTTAGGATTTAGAGGCTATGAATATAGGCCGACTAATCAAAGCCTTTATTCCCTAAAACTTAAGTAATTATAAGAGGTAATTTATTAAAAAAATATTAGAAAGGGTGTTGGTTTTTGGACTTGGCTCACGTGGGTGTAGTATGAGCATTAATTAATATGAGTTACAATCTGGTTGAATTGGATTTGATTAGTTAGGTTGGGGATAGACGGGCAAATGATCAACCCAACTCAACCCAATCAATGAATGGGGTGAAATTGAGTTGGGTTTAGGTGTATTATAACTATAAAAAAATCCACTTGTTCGGATTTAAAGTTAGGTTGGATATTGGCAAGTTTGAATTGGCCCAACCCAAGTTGCATCTCTGTCACTCACCGTCAAGGAAATGATGAAAATTTGGTTCAAAACTAACAAATGATGGTCTAGCTAGCCACAACTTATTAATTACCTAAGATATATATTATGATTAGAGAAATGCTTATGGGACTCTCAAATGTAGGACTCTCCATAGACTCACTCCTATCTCATATTTTTGACAAAATATTTTATAATGTTGGCACGATAATTGATGTTAAATTGTCAAGTGGCAGATAATTCATGAATAGTTTCACATTTGAGGATCTCTTTAGAATTTCTCGATTAGAGAAATTATTGTCATAATGATTTGTTATCAGCGCTTAAAAGATTGCTCTCTAGTTTGTTTCAGAATTAGATGTTTATAAAGACAGTGTAAATCCTTAGGAATTAAGGTCTTGCCAATTAATATATAGTTTGTTCCATGGGTAACCTTCTTGACAATTTTGTAGTGATCTCTCTTTCGTGTCTATGAAATAAAATAAAGAGTTTTGCCATCAGTTTCTCTTCTTTTCGTCCTTAATTAATTTGGTATGTTGACTTTTTAGAGTGCGAATCAGCCTAAAAGTTATCATTCGAAACTCAAAAGGTGTATTCAATTGAGATTTTGAAGGATTTTAATTCTTTTTGATGAATCTAAGTGTTATATCTCATATTGTCTAGGAAGTGGATCATCTATGCCTTATATGTACATGTCCACCTCCTTTAGCACGAAGCCTTTTGGGAACTCACTGGCTTCGGATTCCATTGGAACTCTGAAATTAAGCGAGTTTGTGCAAGAGCAATCCCAGGATGGGTGACCCACTGGGAAGTTCTCGTGTGAGTTCCTAGAAACAAAACCGTGAGGGCATGGTTAGAGCCCAAAGAGCACAATATCGTGCTATGGCAGAGCTAGGCCTAGGATGTGGTGGAGCCCGGGTCGAGATGTGACACTAAGGGTATTCAACCAGGATTTTAAGTGATTCTCTTAAATTTAAGATGTATTCAATTAGAATTTCAAAGAAGTTTATAACATTCCAGGTGTTTTCAATTAGAAATTGATTTTAAAGAATTTGAGAAAGTTGAGGAATTTGAGGGAATTTGAGAGATTTCGTAGTGTATTTTAAGCATCCATAAATATCACATCTTCCATGAGATTTCAAGTGAATTGAATCAAAATTTTATATTGAATCTTTACAATCAATTAAACTCCATAAAAATCATAGATTTATAAATCAATTAAAATCTCTCAAATTCTCAATTAAATACACCCCCTAAAATAGCATGACTTTTGCTTGTCTCCTGTACCGTACGGCGTCTTTAAATGATGGTATATCTGAAAATGAATCGTAATTCCAGTTTTATTCATCCAGTAACTTGATTCAGTTCGAAAGCAGAGATCAATAGTCAATAGACAGATAACTCCCCCATGGAGATAAACAGGCATAACTATGCTCCTTTAGAAGCAGTTTTACTAAACATAAACACACCAAGAAGAAGCAAGATACAAAAATATGACTTGTGCTACAAAATAAGTAAAAAGTACGTAAACCTATGGTTCAAAACTAGCGAGGATATGGTTCGGTAATATTTGAAGGCTCATTTTTCGACACATAGATGGGAAGCTTTTTGGATTCATCAGACTCTGTCATCCCCGATATGTCCGATTCACCGTTCTTTTGCATATGAAATGCAGGTTTTGAGGGTGCCGAAAGTGTGACAGATTCACTATTAAGCATGGATACAACTGAAGCTGCTGTCGGTCTATCAACGGCATTTTCTTGTACACAAAGTAAACCAATGTGGATGCATCTCATCGTTTCAATTCTTGAACTCGTTGTCAACATGGGATCTATGACATTTGAAATTGTATCCTCCCTCCAATTTCTCCATGCCTGTAAAAGTACATAAATATCCTCAATAAATAAATTTCAACACTTCGCCTTGTAGAGGGAATCCACCAACTTGATTATACACATACTCACATAGCTTAAAAGGCCCTCTTCGTTCTCACCATATCGAAAACGACCAATCTTTTTACCACTAACAATTTCAAGAACCAAGACGCCGAAACTGAAGACATCCGTTTTGACAGATAAGTTCCCATGAAGTACATACTCAGGAGCCATATATCCACTGCATGATTATATTCCAATTTAAGATTTTAAGTTTTTCCTCTTTTGTAATAATTTCTTTTGAATTCTATTGTAAACAAAGCAGAAAACTAAGGTGTAATTAAGTTAGCTTGCCATGTTATTACAATACTTACTAGGTTCCCACAATTGCTTTTGTATACCCTTGAGTTTGATCGATAACAAACAATCTTGCCATACCAAAATCAGCAATTTTGGGGTTCATATCTTCATCTAACAAAATGTTGCCAGCTTTGAGATCACGGTGAATAATTCGAACGCGAGAATCTTCGTGAAGGTAAAGAATCCCTCGAGCAATGCCTCCTATGATCTTGTACCGTGTTTCCCAATCCAAGTGCATATGACTGTTGGGGCCTAATATTATTTAATTAGAATGATATATAAGTTTTTATTTGTAAGACGTTACTATGGATTGTACCAAATTTGAAATAAAGAATTATACCAAAAATGAAGTGATCAAGACTTGAGTTGGGCACATATTCGTAGATGAGGAGTCTTTCTTCTGCTTTTAAGCAAAATCCTAGGAGCCTTACTAAATTCCGGTGTTGAAGCTGAGCAAGTAGCATGACCTCATTCTTAAATTCACGATCGCCTTGTGCAGAATTCTTAGCGAGCCTTTTCACGGCTATAAGTTGCCCATTCAATAGCCTTCCCTGAATATTTAAAGGAGAAAAATTAGGAAACAATTCATATATAGATGATCTTCTTTCTTGTGAAAATTTGTTTATTTTTGTTTATATACCTTGTAAACAGCTCCAAATCCACCTCTACCGAGCTTATTTGCATCAGAGAAGTCATCTGTTGCAGATCTTATAGTGTCAAATTCATATTGCAACGATTCCGCGAAACTGATTTCATCTGAGTTCTCCTGATCTGGAAAAGGAAACTAAATTAGCAAAAGTTCCAGCATCAGATGAGATAGTGTGACAATAAGAGTTGCACTTACCTTCACCTTCAAGTTTTACCCCTCGTTTCTTGACTCTCAAGTATACGTATATGCTGAGAACGGTAACAAAAGCTACCAAAATCACTAGCACCACGACGATGATAATTACTTTTTTGTTACTCTTGTTGGCTGCTGAGAATCACAAGGGTGCTTTTATTAAGAATCACACCGCATAATCGCACAGTGATCAAATATCAATTATGTTTTATTCTTAAATACTACCAAGGCTAGTGATTTTTAAACCTCTAATTTAAACGCTTGTGATCCTCATGTAGATGCAGAAATTTTCAAAATTGTGCCATACCTTCTTTGGGAGCTGGTGCTGCTGGAACCGGAGGTGGAATATTTACTGGCGAACTGGCTGTGGACTCAAAGAAAAGACTAACCTCATACCTTAAATTACAGCTGGGTTTAAGAATTCTTCCTCCTTGCATTCCACCACAACATCCGGGAATATCTAAGACTGCTTCTTTAAGGCAATTGCTGCAGTTTTGCTGGTTTATATCTGGAGTGCACTGGACAAGTGCATATATGGTTTCATCTCCTGGGACTGTTGCATGCCCTGCCGCAAATTTTCTAATAGAGTCCCCTGATGCAGCCTTTTCACTTAAACTACTCAACAAGGGGTTAAGCACCAGCTCAAACTGTTGAGAATTCTTAGCAGGATTTGGGCTAGGCACACACTTTACAGGGTCCTCTTTCTCAATTCTGAAAATCAAGTTGTTCGAGTATCGAACCATACAAGGCTCTGCCCATATGATTGCTTCCTTTTGTCTAGAACAATTTTGCAAGAGAATATCTGTAGACCTATTGAGACATGTATGGCAAGTGTCCTGAGAGAGGTCTCCTCTGCACAACGCAATGGCATTGACTTTGTTGGGGTCTCGTCCCTTGGAAAAATTGTAAAACCCGGAACTGATTTCGGTGTTTGTGGAGAAGGAGGAGAGGAGGCTGTTGAGGTTCTCTTGGTACATGTCGCCGGGTGTGTACATGCCAGTATCGGAACATTTCCAGCAGTAGTAAGCTGTGTTTGTGCAGATGCCGTCATCTTGGGCAGTGGTGGGAGAAATAAGGTTTAAAAGAAACGGAAAAATGAAGATAAGCAATGATCTTGCGGATCCCATTTCCCTTTTGCCCGTGTCAGAAGTATCAACTTGTCTTCAATTATAGATTTTCATAGACTAGATGAAGTGGAAGACGCGGCAAGACCTTGATTCCTTGACTCAAAGTCGTCCACCATAGTCCCAGATGGATTCCTGCCCTTAATTTTATTTGCAGGCTTTTTCGGTGTTTGTGGAAGACGCGGCTAGACCTTTGTACTTTTTTCTTTTTTTATTTTTATTTTTTTTAATTATTCTATAACAAACTTAAGATGTTTATAAAAGCTTTTATAAATACAATGTCTCACGATACCACAATAAATAAAAAGTAAATTGTAACAATGGTCTCTTAATTTTAACTCAATTGGAGCAATGATCCTTTAACTAAAAATCAACTATCATTGATCCCTCAACTTATCAGAATGTGCAGCTATCCCTCAACTAAAAATTCATAATCATTGGTCTCTCAACTTTAATCCAACTGGAAAATGGTCCCTCAACTTTAACTCAATTGAATCAATGGTCCCTCAACTTTAACCCAATTGTAGCAATGATCATTTCAACATAATTCATTTTTGACAAAATTTTGATGAAGTTGACGAAAATGACCATAGCTACTCGTTTTGATGAGTTGAGGGACTCCAATTGTAGCAATGTTCATTCCAACATAACTTATTTTGACAAAATTCTAATTAAGTTGACGAAAAAGATCATAGCTACACATTTTTATGAGTTGAGGGATCAATGGTAAGAGATTTTTAGTGGAGTGATCATTGCTCCAATTTGATTAAAAGTTCAGGGACCATTACTATAATTTACTCATAGATTAAAGTTACATCACCGGAATGGTGCTAGTCACAACTAGGTTTCAAACTCATAATAAATATACGCGTGCCATAACTTGGAGAATTTTTTATTGTGACCGGAACACGAGTGATACATCATGTGTTTTTATATAAGGGGTGAAATTTTTTAATATTTAAGCTATTAACTTTTTAACATACATATCTCATTATTTGTTTAATAACACATAATGTACCACCTCGTATTCTAGTCATATTGAAAAATCTCTCTATAACTTAAGACTTCCTTCAACCAAGTTGACTAATATTACTAAAAAAATGGCTAGGTGGTCATTATCCAGTATTAAATCAAGAAATAGACCAATTCCATATGAACAAAGAAGGAGTCCTTGTCTTTTAAATTCCTTTGTGACATAATAACCTTATAGATGTCAATTTTTTCTAAGGGGTACCTCTCAACTGTTTATCATTATAAGTGGAAGTGGAATTTATGTTTTGGCACCGCTTGGAAGTGGAAGTAATAATTGTACCTTTGAAGGGAGATTAGGCCAAGTGAATGATTTATGTGGAATTTTGTGTTGTGGGCTAACCACAATGAACAAGGAAACAACGATGTATATGATGTGAATATTCTTTTCCACCTCGAGAGAGAGAGAGAAAAAAAAAATAAAAAACCCTCTTTTCTACTTGACTCTCCCACTTTAATTTCAGTCCACTTTTCCTTTATTTTTTTTTTTTTAATTTTTTTTTATGAATTATTGTAAATGCGTCGATGATAACTACAAGGACTCAGATACAATGTGAATACATTTGCTTCTGAAAATTTTCTGTTCTTGGCATGTATTTTTTTGCTTAATGTGGTTCATTTATCGATACAAATGTTATGAACAAATTACTTATCATGTTCAGCAGATATCCCTATTAGGACTTTACAATAAATGAAAAAAAAAAACCTAATATGTTAAGGGTATAACAATAATTAAAATTGATATAAAAGAAAATCAAAATAAGTCATTTAATATTATGATCAAGTGATATTTTTCTTTACTAATGAATGAAAGATTTTAGATTCGAATATGATGGATAACAAGTTCGAAATCAATTTATTCTTGCGCCCCTTAGTGTATATATATCGTTATATATATATATATAATAAAAATAAAAACTCATCTGTGTGCAGCTATATTTGGAATATGAATGTGATTATGTAAATTTTAATGTATCTAGAGATATTTTGGAATATTCTCTTTAGTATATATTATTCTATTAGAGTTGTAATCCTATTAGTGTAAGAATTTAACATATCCTACCACTCACAATATTGTAAAATACAACACACCTTACAGTTAAATCTATCTCTTCTCTCTCTTGCCGCCGGCCTTTCCTTCTCTATTCCCTTAGAATAGTTTAATCAACTAGGCGTACAACAATCTACATATTTTCCCACTAATTCATTTTGCTTTTTGTTCTCTATTTCTCCAATAATAACTCTACATCCACGTACGTAACATGTTTAGGATTGTTAACCTTCACTGAATAAGCACAACAGACAAAATGGTCCATTAAGCCCAACCAAAAACCACTTTCAACAAAACAGTACTTTCAAAAGAGAGAGAAAATAAAGGCGGCACACGCGGTCAAACAAATCATCGAGGGACGAGGAGCAACGCTAGAAGATTTTTCAAAATAGGTCGGTATATGGGATGGTATATCATGTGTTATTATATAAATTGTAGGATATGTGTGTTAAAAAGTTAATAATTTTAAAAATAAAATATTTCATCATTTATATAAAAACATGTGATGTACCATCCATATTCCGATCACAATACAAAATTTCTAGGGCAACACAACATCCTAAGGAAAGCATCTTGTGACTCTTCTCCATATGTCATAAGAAATTCTTCTGTTAGAAATGGAACATGTCTTTCTATGCTTGATGTTATATGTGAAAATTTAAACTTGAGCTGCAATTGGTCTTTTTAATAAGGGTAAAATGTTAACAATTAAGTTTGTTAGAGGTTGTTATAAGGAGGGTATGGTAGTTTGTAATTAGTAAATGATTAGTTGGATAAAGATGTAATTAGATAGTTAGCTAATACTAGTGACTCACTAGTATATATATACATCAATGTGTAACTTTATTGATATGATGAAATGAAAGAGTAACTTTCTTGATATGGTATCACTCGCCTGAGTCCTATGACATTTGATCCTCTCCTTCTGCTTCCCGTTTCTTCCTCTTCGAATCTTCAAACCCTAGAAATCGCCATAGGCTGGCTCTCCTTCTTCTGAATCTACTTCCCCTGTTCATCCAATTTCGATGAATTCTTGCCCTAATTCTTCTCTCTCCTCAGCAACATCGTCGATTACGATCTAGAATATTGGATCTATGGTGTCAATCAAGCTCACATCGACAAACTACCTCACCTGGAGTGCTTTGTTCGCTCCAATCTTTTGCAGATACAATCTCACCGAAATCATTGACGGCACGATGTTTGCTCCGCAGAAATACCTTCGTGACTTCTCTGGTAATCGAACCTCTACTCTCAATCCTCAGTATGTTACTTGGTTTGAAAATGATCAGAATATCTTGATTTGGATTAATTTTACACTATTGGATACCCTAATTTCGCACACTGTTAGAGTCAATTCGGCCCGTGAGCTCTCGTCCAAATTGGAATCTGGACTTGCAACTGACTCGCAATCGCACATTCACGAGCTTCGTTCTCGTCTTCGTAGCATCACAAAGGGTGATTCTACGGCTGCGCTCTATCTTTAACAAATTGAAGAAATCACAGATGCTCTCACAAATACCAGAGCCCTAATCGAAGATTCTGAGTTGCTTTCTGTAATTTTACATGGTTTGCCTTCTGAGTATGAGTCTTTTATTGATGCAATCCAATTTCGCCTTGGTTCAACCACCATTGATGAACTTCATGGGCTGCTTTTGAGCAATGAGCTTCAATTGACTGCTAGCAAGAAAACCTCACCATCTGCCCCAATTCAAGCTTTTAATTCTTCTGCTGGTCTTCTTCCAACACCACTTGGTGATTTTGGTGCTCAAGCATTCTTGACTCATAATAGATCTCCTTCACAATCCTATGGTACTCCAAATCGTGGCAACTTCTCTCAATCTCGCAATTACAACAATCGTGGACCACAGAGGAATAATCAAGGTTTTCAGGGCAATCAAAGATTCAATCGTGGTAATCTGGGTAATCATCGTTACAACCGTGGTTCTCGTTCTCAGTATAATAATTCCAATAGAAAGATTTCTTGTCAAATCTGTCGTCAATTGGATCATGAAGCTGTTGAGTGCCCTCAGCGCATGAATCCTAATTTTGGTACCAAGAATTCTCCAGCTGCCTATCATGCCTCCACAATTCCTACTTGGCACTTTGATTCTGGTGCTAGCTCACACATGACTCATTCCTACACGAATTTGCAGAATCCTAAGGCATACACTGAACTTGAGCAAATGTATATTGGTGATGGAAAAGGTTTGCCCATACTCAATTCTAGTTCTTCTACACTTAATACTGGTTCTCATAGCTTTGATCTTAGAAATGTCTTGCATGTTCCTCATCTTAAGCAAGATTTGATTTCCGCCAATCACTTTATACTTGATAATTGGTGTTCTATTCATTTGTATCATTTTCACTTCATTGTGAATGATCTTTCTTCGGAGAAAACGCTCTTTAAGGTCTTGTGAAAGCTGGTTTCTATCCATTTCATGCATCATCTATTGTTGGTAATCAAAAGGCATTTGCAGCTTATGTTAAAGCCTTACATCAGACTTGGCATCAAAGATTAGGTCACCCTGCACTCACAATACTAAATCAACTAGCTTCTAAGTCTTGTATTTCAGTTTCAAGTGCTTTAAATAAATCTGTGTACTCTAGTTGTGCTTTAGATAAGAGTTCTAAACTGTCTTTTGCTTTTGCTTCTTGTACATCAAGTAGACCTCTGGAGCTTCTGCACACTGATGTATGGGGTCCTACACCACTCATTTCTGTTAATAGATATCGATATTATCTCATTTTTGTTTATGACTACACCAAGTATACTTGGTTCTTTCCTCTTAAATCCAAATCTGATGTCTTTGATACATTCAAAGTGTTGGTGGAAAATTTACTTAGTGCTAAAATTGTTACTTTGAGATCTGATTCTGGTGGGGAATTTCTTAGTCTCAAGTTTATCCAGTTTCTTTAAGAACATGGCATTTCCCATCAGTTAAGCTGTTCCTCACACACCTAAGCAAAATGGTTGTGCTGAGCGCAAGCACAGACATTTGGTTGAAATTGCTAGAACTCTCATAGCAGCATCCAATGTTCCTCATTCCTATTGGGTTGAAGCGTTTGCCACATCTATCTATCTCATCAATAGGATGCAAACAACCACCAAATTATCACATTGGGAATTATTGTTCACAGAATTTCAGATTACATCTCATTGAAAATCTTTGGATGTAGA